TAAATGGATCTCCTACTTGTTTCCATATCTCTCCCCTCATTCCAGCACTGTGGGATCTTACAAACCCCAGAGCATTTGTTTCTCACCACAATGCTCCACCTATGTTCAGTCAGAGAAAGAAACACCACACCATGCAAGGAGCCTCCACACAATCTCTTGGAGGTTCAGAGAAAACCAGGAGAAAAGCAAGTTTGAAACACAGACCTGGGATTCATTGTCTCCATGGTTTTGCAGTCCCTGTATCCTCTCTGCCCCACACACAGGACATTGCAAATAGTTGAGAATGATTCAGGTTTTTGTCTTAGCAGCTCAGTCATGTGTATCATTGTTGGCTTTTCCAAAGGCACCTACTGGATGCTGAAGTTAGCTATTAAAAACATCCTCACTTCTTCTTCCTCAAACTGCTCATGCCCTTGTTCCCTCCTGTGAGGAAAATCACATGCTGAGGCTGAGCCATTCCTAGTGATCACAGCTTAAAAAGGCTTTGCTGCCCTTCATGGCAGAAAGAGGTGGAGGTCCCTCAGGGATGGCTTTGCTGGCTGCCACCTGAGGAGAACCTGACCTTTCTCAGAGCCAACAAACAGGTAGATTTGGGGTTAGTGGAGGCACAGGACTCTGTTGTGGGGAATCTGTTGTCAGTCCTTAGCCAGGATGAACCCCAAGCCAGAAGAAAACTAGAAAACTTGTAAGGACAGATTCCTTCTGAAGACCCAGGACAGAGAAAGCTGCAAAAAGCTGGGTCCTACAGGCTCTCAACAAGGGACCTACAGGCTCTCTGCAAGCAGGGCTTGAGTTGTGGATGGCCAAAACCAGACCTGGGAAACGGGAGCTTATCACTTGCCCCAGTAAGGCTCTTGCAGGACTTGGTTCAAGCACCTCAGCAAGTGGCAGTGCTGATAGTGGCCTTAATCATTTGAAGAGAACTGAAAGAAATTAGGCAGAGTCCCTCAGATGATCCCATTTAGCACAGTCCAACTTACAGAGCTGGGCATGAAACTGAAACACCTCCTCTCTCAGCTTCTCCTGGAAATATAGATTAATGAGAATCAGACCACTCCATTTCTGGGGCTCTCCATTGCCACCTTCCTTCCGATCCAGCTGTCCAAATCTTTGCACCACATCAAATTTCCACAATGTCCTACAGTTAGGATGTCTAGGCACAGTTCCAGGGCCTCTCTCCAACACTGCATACACCAGACACAGCTTGTTTCAGGATCTGCTGACCCACAGCTGGTGGTAAGGATTAGGGAGCAGAAGTCGGACCCCAAAAACCTGCTGGAAGGCAGAAAGCCCAGTGCAACCATCACTTTTTCATATGCAGCACCTCAGAGTCTGCACCTTGCTGATTCCTGCACTGGGGAAGATGGCACTTCAGAGATGTGCAGAGATACTGTTTAACCTGAATCACAAAGAATCCATCTGAAGGGGACTGCTCTTGTTCTTCATGTCAACCACCTGCTTGGATGGGGCTTGGAGCCACTTTGTCTAGTGGAAGGTGTCCCTGCCCATGCAGGGGGGCTGAAATTAGATGTCTTTGAGGGCCCTTGCAACCCAAACCATTCTGTGATTCTGTACTTTCCTACACTCAGTTCTACATGGATCACAGGGCTAGGCAATCCTAAACCTCCCCACCATGATCTGCCCCCACCTTGAAATGGGCTTTGGTTTCAATGAAGATAAATGTGCCCACTTCAATCCTCCCCAGGCTGCCATAAACACTGGGGACAATTAAAACATGAACATTATAAAAAAAAAAAAATACACTGGTGAGGACTCAAGGCTGTGGAGCTGGAAAGCCAGGTAGCTTGAAGAAGTGCCAGATATTTAACTGGTCTCCAAGATTAGCAGATGTTTTTCAACCTAACATTGCAAAAACTTACTTGGATGTCTTTCCTAAATCACAACCAGAGAGCAGAATGTGTGTTGTGCATTGGGAACACACCAAGTACTTTTCCAGCACTGTAAGATCTTTTATTAAAAAAAACCCCAACAACAACAAACCAGCAAAGGGGACAATGTTGAGAGAACAACCTAGGCCTGTTTAAAGGATAGTGTAAGAAAAGGAAAATTCCTTCCCAAGTGAAAAGCCTTGGGTGCAATCAGGATGGAGAGAGCATCAGCTCATTTCCCACAAAAAAAATCAGCAGGAGCACTGCAGAACAGGGGCTGCAGCTGACACAGTCTTACAGATATTTAGGTGGTTATTTTCCTTTTTCCTTTTTTTTAAACTCCATTATCTAAAAAGAAACCATTCAGCAGCTCACTTTTTGAAAACCCAGCCTCCCTCACCTGGTACCAGACAATCTGCTATAGCACTGCAATGAAAACCTCATCCCAAAGTTGGGTTTGTCTTCCCACCAACTCCTTAACACCCAGTGCACATCCCAAGGTCTTCTCTACTCCAACTTGGCGGAGATTTACAGGGATTTGCACGTCTTTTTCTCACCCAGAGAGAGATTATGTAGCATGATTAAGAGATATTCTAGGGAAGAAACTACCAGCTTTGACAAGCTTCTTGACATTTTCTGTGTTTGATATAACACCCATCAGTCATTAACAAGAATGCATTAAGCTGCTGCTTAGCCTTAGGAATGCCATGTTTAATAACAAACATCACTTCTCTCCTCTTCCTGCAGTGGCAGCCACTGTCCAGTAATTTCTGCACAAATTATTCTGTATCAATATATAAAATTTTTATACACAGACACACACACATATATATATATTCACACACAAGCTGCCCTTCCATGTGGAAAGCAACAGGAGAGTCAAGACCAGATAAGGTGAGTTACAGCTTTTCCTGTATCATGGGAGATGGAAGTGCAAGGATCTTCTGGATTACTGAATCCAGAACCTTGTGACCATATTTACAGACCCCTTACAGAAAGTTATTCCTCTATTAAAAAAAAGGAAATAAAATGAGAGATATTTTATAGGTAGGGCTTTATTACAATGCAGATTAAATAAAAAATCTGCCACTTGCAAAAAGTGTTACCACTGCCTCAGAAGCTGCTCTCAGAGACACTCAGTTCTGGGTGGGTATCTCCTTCCTACATTGGCAATGCAAGGAAACCTGAGAAATTAACTGCTCAACCTTTCAGGGGGGTGATGGGAGGAAAGACACAGAAGAACCAGAAAGGAAAGCGTCTGCTGGGCAGGTCTTGCTATGGAAGGGACAGGCTGCACACAGATCCCTGAAATTCATTCCAGCCACAGCATCCACACCAGTTGTATGACCACCACCTCATGGATGCCAGAGCAAAAGATGAACCTGAGGAAATCAGATCATTCTCTGGGTCTGCTCCTTCAGACACATGCACCATAGACCTCTAGCCTTCCCACCCAGCAGCTTCAAAGCTGTTGCTGCAAGGGAAGCAGTGCTGTCTGGAGTTAGCTCCTTTCTCCTTTGCTGGCAGAGGCTCATCTCCAGTCCTATGGGAAGAAAGAGACTTAGACACAATTGTCACTTCTTTCCAGACTCTGCTCAGGGTTGTGTCAGCCAGTTACCATACCTTAGGAGGGCACCAGCAAGGCTATGCTCTCCTCCACCCAGCCCAGCTCCCACAGCACACAGCTTCTGGGGATTCATTTAGTGGACATTTCAGAGGGACACCTGTTGTGCTACACAGATCTACTTGGTTACAGAAACCTACCATCTGTCCCCGTGTTGTACCAACCAAAGTCTGCAAGCACCCTGCCAGTGAGGAGGATTAATATTGCATTTCCATCTGCTTCGAAACATGAGCTGCCCATAAGCACCAACCTGAAGATGCCTCTAAGCTCCTAAATCCCACCGCGTCCTTAAAAACACACAAGTTATGGGAAGAACAAGAGGAGCCACGACCATCCAGTTCCCTCAAAGCACAAGTCACATCCACAGCAACATTTTCAACTTGCTCCACTCCCTGCATGGCTCAATAAGGAAAGAATGCAGGGAACACAGTTCACATCAAAGAGACACCTACACGGTGACAATGCCAATATGAAACCATTCACTGGGTCTGCACCAAGGTAACAAACTTTAAAAAAAGTATTAAAACAGACTGTTTATTACAACGTATGATGTGTTATATTAATTTACACAATGATATATATATATAAAAAACAGCCATGGATGATGTACAGTAAATTGGACATCAACAGGAATATTAAAACTACTGATACTCATGCACGTGACATGCATATGGTTGGGGTTTTTTTTCTTTTTCTTTTTCAAAAGCAGTTTTACACAATTATACTGAAGTTACTAAGCCTGGTCAGCTGCTCCAACAGTCTACTCTGAGCACCACTGCCAACTGCAGTGGGACTCCCAGGAGGCTGGAGCAGGGTGCACTCTGGAGAAGGCAACTTAACCTTGGAGATAGATTGAAGAGGAGCCCTTTCCTGGTGGGACAAGGTTGGGGGAGGAAAGGGGTGAGTTTCAAGAAGAGAATCAAGAAGAAAAGAAAAAGAGCCAAACAAACAAGAAACAAACAAAAAAACCCCCACCATTAACAAAAATCAGGCCAGACTACCAAGAGGAGGAAGTACAAGATGTGGCAACAGGAGCAGCCAAAAGGGACAAGGAAAAACATGAAGACCACCCACACTCCCTCCCCTTTACCCCAAAACACTTAGGACCTTAAGCTGCTGGTATCTTCTATAAGACCCAAAACTGGAAAAACTAGGCAAAGAAGATCCATTTCCAGAAACATTAACCTCTTTTTGAAGCCTTCTGATCCCATGCACGGGAGGCTGTTCACCACTGAAATGGCAGTGTTATGGGTTTCTTTTTTTTAAACTAGCAGAACGGTCTTTTATTTCCACATAAAAGGCACTGGTATCCACCCAAGTTCTCAGGACAAGTGACATAATTTACCTTAAGTTTTAAATATTTGTATCAAAACAAAACAAAACAAAAATCCGTGGAAATATGTACACAAAAAAAAACACAAAACCACAAAAAAAAAAAGCACCTTGCTTCTGAAAGGAGAAGCAGATACATTCCACAAAAGTCACCTCGCTAGACAGTTGTCATGAGCTTCAGGGAGCCCGACCGAAAGCGGAGGATTTTCTTCTTGAGGTTATGGGAGGCTTTGATTTTGACAAAGGCCTTCGCCGCATTTTCGTGCAGCTCCGGCGCCGCCACCGTCTGGATGGGGAGCGTCTGGACAAACTGGGACCAAATAAGGCCCCCGCTCTCGTCAGAGTCACTGGTGGTTGTGCTCTCCCCTACGAACTCCACCTCGCTCAGGCTGGACTCGCTGTCTCCAAAGCAGTTCGTGGTGTAGTTGCTCTGCTCGTCCTCGCTCGTGTCCACCACGGTGGAGTGGAACAAGGACTCGCACTCCGCCGAGTACTCCGAGTCGCTGGCCACGTAGGAGTAGGGGCTTACGTAGGGCAGGGGGACTTGGGAGTAGACCCCCACACCCTCCCGCCGGTGCCTCCTCGCCCTCCGCAGGGCTTCCTCGTAGGAAATCTCCGCCGACGACTTCCAGCGGCGGTAGTCGGCCCGCTTGTGCTTGGGCTTGGCCACCACCGCCTCCCGGCCGTGCCCGTGGGATCGGAGGGTGGATTTGTGCAGGCCGGCCGGCCGGCTGGGGAGCCCTGCCTCGGGCTGCGCGCCCCGCTTCCCCCGGGAGGAAGGCTTCTTCAGTTTCTTATTTGTATCCAGCTCCTCAGGAAAGCGGCACTTCTTGCCGACCGCCTTGGTTTTCTCCCGCAAGGCCTGCGAGCTGCTTTCCAGCCCGTTGGCGAGGTGGGGCCTGTGCTTCAGCGCTGAACTCTTCAAAATCTTCACGTTGCGGGTGCCTTTGTGAAGCTTGACGCTTTGCTGCTGGGCCGGGATGTACTGGGCGTTCACCAGCAGCCCGTCATCCAGGCTCTGGGAGGAAGAGCCCTCGCTTTTGAAATCCAGGGCTGGCCTCTCGTCGACCGCAGGCGACGAGGAGCGAGCTGCCTGCAAGCTCTTCAGGCTCTCTTTGGGAGAGGTGACAAAGAGCTGGCCGGCCTCCTTGGGGACATCCCCTGCCGTGGCCGCCGCGTTGCGGTTGAGCTCCAGAGGCGCTGGTTTGATGCACCGCGGCAGGTGCTTGCTCTGGAGTTCACTGGCCGTGCCAGGCGGGAAAGCTGCTGGCAAAGGTGCCTTCCTGCTCTCCAGCTGCTCACCAGCTGGCTCCCTCGGCCTCTGCTTCAACGGGGAGGGTGCTGTGTGGTCCAGAGCAGCGGTCCCACCAGAAGGCAAGCACGCTTGCTTGGAGTTCTTCAGGTTCACAGCGTTGCCATGACCCACCACCCCTGAGGGCTGCCTGACACACATACTTCCATGCCTCAAGATCCCTTTGGTGGGATCGGCGTTGAGACTCGTCCTGGGTTTGTTAGTCCTTACCGCGTGAGTCTTCTTCTGAACCAGGCTTAGGATGTAACCATCTATCCTCTTACTGGCGGAAGGGCAGGGTGCCGGCCAGGAGCTCTGCGGGAGAAAAGCGCTGGTGGATTTTCCTGAGTCCGTTTCAGACCCGGCGCAAACATCGTTGACATCGCAGCCGAGCCTCTCCTCTTCTCCACGGGGGTTTTCAGTCACGGGGAGAAGAAACATGGGGCTCTGCACGGCGACGGCGTGGAGCGGGCTGGGGTACCGGTAGACGTCGTTCCCGTTTTTAGACACCAGATCACACTGGTACTTTGGGTGCACATCTGCAACGACATCGAGGGAATTTGAGTGCGGTGTGGACAAAGAGCGACAAACAGAGCCTGCGGGCTGGTCCTCATGCTGGCCTTCCTTATTATAGTCCATCCAGCCTATGAGATCTGAAAGGCAGGTTAGAAGAGTTTAGAGAGCCTGCCAGGGACAGTCCTGCTACGTTTCTCACGTGCCACCGAGGACACCGGTCCCGTCTACACACAGGATGCAACATTGACATTGTTCAAGCAGCAGGAAACTCGCAACTAGGGATGCCGTGCAAGCGGGGCAAAAGCAGCACTATCCTTCTCTGGGTCTCTTTGCAACTGCATTTATGCAGGATTTGCCCCAATGTGTGACTACGTGGTTAAAAAGTAAAAATCACAAGCCTAGTGAGAACATTTACTTTGGGAGCCACCCAAACCAGAAGCCTGGAAGAGTCTCTCATGTTTACATGTTACAAAGGCACCTGCAAAACTCACTGCAGGCCTCAGCACATACACATTTTACATTTTGCTTTGCTACATCCAAAGGGAAACAACCCAAAATTTAGACAAGAGACCAATGAATTGCTTTTAGCTTACTGACAAATTTATTAGCTTCCAGATCTTTTTTCGAGCATATCTTGGGTTCAAAATAATCCAGATTCAATGTTAGCGTTGTTATTATTCTCGTTACGACTGCTCTTATCATCGTAATGTAATAATAGTAGTAATAATAACAACGATGGTGATAATAATAATAATGCTCCTTTTGAGAAAGCAAGGATTCAAGAATGGGCAACAGGCTCCTGTTTCCACACAAGTACAAGGAGTGCAGGTCAATCCAGCTGACATCCTAGCCTTGGCTCTGCAAAGAGAGTTCTGTAAGAGAAATCCAGTGCATTTCAAGATGCATGAGTCAGATTTAATGACTGAGGCACTTCCTTAGGAGGTAAGCAACCTTAGGAGCAGGTCTTCAAACCAAACATCTTATTATTTTCTTAAGCTGATGTTGTCCTTGTCTTCTTGGGTAGGGGTACAAACTAAATGTAGGGGTACAATCTAAATGATCCTTCCAGATCTCGGTGAGTCCTGTTTTCTCCCCTTGGGCTAGAAACTTCAGGGTACTCAAATTTGAATGCTCAGTGATCATCACTTATCTAAGGCTTATTTCAAAAGAGGTCTCATAGCCTTTGATGAAATTAGCTGATAAGGATGATGTTCCTGTGTGGGCAGGAGAGGAAGAATAGGGCAGTTAGAAGCAAGAATTTCCTCCAGATCACCTCACAGTTTTCCCACATTTCCTAAATTCTATGTCAGAGTCAGGAAATGTTGCCAAAAAAAAGAATTCTTTGAAGCATGCCAGATTGTGAAATTTCAGCTCTTAAAAGTGAGACAGTATGATTAATAAGAGTTTTAGGTTTTTCATGATGTATACATAAAAAAAACAACCACCCAGCAACCCAATCTGCTGGAAAACCTTTGTATGTTTTCCTTTTTATGTATGGCTGATGAAGATCACATACACCTTACAACTGGGAGCATTACCTCACTACCTCAAGCTGCTCAAAGGATAACTCAAGAGGACTTGTCAGCATCTCAGAAAGACTGCCTACTAACTTGTATTTTCCCACTTCAGTGTTAGAAATACTTGAATTATTTTGTCCTTGATTCACAACAAACCGCTCTAAATTAACCTTGAAGAGCAGAATGGAAGTTGGAAATACCATGGTTAGGAGCATCCTCCACAACCCAGGATGAGCTCAGGCTTTTGAGTGGGTATGGCTGCAACCAATACTGCTTGAGCACAAAATCCTACTGAACTGTCCTCCCTAGGAAACAAGACAAAGGAGATCACCCTATTTAACCACCCCACATATCAGGGCTTGCACCTTCAGCCCAGTGTCTAAGGAAATTCAGCAGCTCTCTGCCACAGAGACAAAGCACTGTTCCCTGTACACGATGTCCATTTGTCTACACTTCAAGACAGGACACATCTCAGCACGGTCACCTGGGGCCTGAGGACCACCAGAACTGACAAACCCACTGCTGCAAACAGACAGATGTTCACCTTGACCTCCTAACACCTGCTGCCAGCCCCTTGCCCTCTCGCTTTAACGAGGCTGTGGCTGTTGAAGTGTCTTTTAATTGTTGCTCTTTAGCAAAAATGCTCTTCTAAACGAAACCATGAGAAAGGAGCCGACTAACGTGTCTCTGTGTGCGGGTACCACTGCCCTCTACTGGGTAGAGCAGCCGTCATATTCTCACATACTCCTTTCATCCGTTGAGTGACATGTTCCCACTTAAGTGGGACTAGTGGGAGGGCAAACGGTCCTGCCTCGTGACCCATGTACGTGATAGGCACTGGAATCTTTTCAGAGCACAGTGAGTCAAATGAAAGGAAGAAGGGTTAATTCAACCCAGATACTCCTGAGGCAGTATTTCCAAAGCCAAAGCCACCTCCTGGAGTACGGTGCATTCGACCTGCTTTTACTATACCTGCAGATATGGGGCGTCCATCTGAGATATTCAGTGTTGCCTCCAAAGGGCTGCAAAAGCAAGTGCTAGAATGGCAACTGGATAAACACTCACTGAAGACAGAGTTAGATGAATTGGAGAGAGATCCAGAAGCTCCATCACTCAGCTCATAAAACCCTATAAAAATAAGAGTTTGGATTTATATTAGTTATGTCTACACAAAGTTACCATTTGTGTTCTTAGAAAGGCAGTCAAGCTCCTGTTTATGTTGGCTTATTCTGCAGCAATTAGTTATGGGGTTCCATTCAGTCACCCAAAAAAACAGGGCACAATTTAGTAATAACCTTATTGCTATGAAGGATTCCGTTTAAAAGTAAAGCACTTAAAAGTAAAAAAGCAGAACTTGACTTAGCATATGAAATTTTGAACTTTTTTTTTTTACCTTTACAGGGGTTGGGGTTTTCCCCTTTTCAGGGGTATTCAGATTTTAGCAAGAAGGAACCAGGCTGTGTTTAACAGCCCACTCATTTAACAGTGTATTAAACTTTCCAGAAAGACTCACTAGCTATTACTTAACAAACCTTTTAAGTGTTGGGCACAATGCTATTCATTATTCTCCTCAAAGTTCTGGAGATAAATATAAGATTTATGGATGACATGAAAGAAGGAAAATGGTAAATAATGTGCAGAATATAAAAAAAAATAATTTCCTGGTTACACTAGGACTGCTCCAGAAAAAATATGACATACCATAATGACAACTGAAATGGTGCATTTAGGAATAAGGAATTCAGGACATGTCTACAGAACAGGGATGTATCCTGGAAAACAATAATCCTGAAAAGGACTTAGTGTGGAAAAGCAGCTCAATCAAGCTTAATGATATGGCAAAAGAAGCTAATGAGATTGTTGGAGGTACAAAGAGACTAATGAATAGCAGTAGGAAAATGACTTCAGCAGTCTCTACAGCACTGGTAAGAAAGACACTGGAATGGTGTGCCTGGTCCTCAACTCCAGCATGCTTAAAACAAAGCTGAAAAATTGGAACGTGGCCATAAAGCTATTTAAGAGCTTGGAAAAATGCCTTAAAATGAATGACTTAATGAACTTGACCTGTTCAGCTCATCAAATACACAAATCAGGAATTATACTGTACAGCACTTCCAAGAGGAGAAAAAGCTGGGTACTAGAAAAGATCTTGGTCTATGGAAGAAACATTAAAAAAAATCAGTGCTGGAACAAGTCAGATTCATATCAGAAGTTGGCAATGATTTTAACAATTGCAAGTTGGTGCATTCTCCATTTTTTTAGTGTCTTCAGAACATGTCTAGATGCCTCTAGGGAAGGTTCCCCATAGTTAAATCCCACTTACTGGCTTCAACACAGTTTGAATGGGATGAAATTCAATATGCAGAGGATCAAATTGTTTGATTCAGTGTTCCCGTCTGGCTGCAAGATCAACTTTAGCATCTCACTCCTGCTGTTGGTGCTTCCTTTCACCATTTTCCCTGAAAACTCCTTCCTAATACACAGGAGAATTAGAACTTCTTGAACTCACTTGTGGATAGTTTTGGCAAAAAAAAAAAAAAAAGCCTCAAACACTAAAAATCAAATTAAGCTTGAAATTCTCCTCTGAATATGTTGCCTCCAAACAGCAAGCTTTCCAGTGGCAGGGGAACTTTGCTGGTAGGCATTAATTATCAGAATGTGAACGTGCTATTTACAGTTGTAGTACTGAAAACTACAGCCAGATCAATTCCAGGTGCCAAGGGAGGCTCCATTTTGCTGGACATTGGCCTTACCTGAACTTGGACGACTGTCTGTCTCCAGGTGTTCATCTGACGTTTTCTCCACGTCCAGGCGGAGGTCACTTATTTGCTTATCTAGCTCCTGTAACTGATTTAGGAGGCCAGCATCCCTCCTCCTCAAGCAGTTCTGGAAAACAAGAAGACAAACATCAGCTCCTTCAGTAGGGCAGACCTGAAGGGGCTTCAAAGACCATCAGCCTTCTCCATCGTGGAAAATACCTGATCAATATTATTGTATTAAAAACAACAACAACAAAGCAGAACAAAGTCCTGAAATTCTAAATAGACATCCTGGAGAAATACTTAAGTGAAGAATTATGCTGGCACGTCATTCCAACCCCTTCCAGCTAGTTCTACGTAAGGAGCACACTCCACAACTCAGGAAGGCCAACACACTATGCTGGCAAAGCACAGGACCACAGCTGTGACTGCAACAAAGCTGCGTTGTGTCATAGAGTCCAACCAGACCTGTGCACATGGAACAGGCTACGTGGGTGCAAGGACAGCTCTGCCAGTGTCACAGGGGACTTTCACCACCACAGTTAGTCAAAGATCACATCTGTTCACACAATGGGACCAAACAGCTCTGCCAACAAGTGCCTGTAGTGTGGGAACCACCTTGTTCTGCTGCACATCATGTGCTTATAGTCTGCCATATAGACAGCAAGATTCCCAGGGCTGGGATCACAGCCCTTTTATTAGTTTTGCAGTGCAGCAGGAAGGAAGAGTAATTCTTCCTCTTCTCCCATTCTAATTGTATAAAATTGCGGTGAGATGAATTTTAAGGCTATTTATGAAGGTAATTTGATGGCATAAAAATGAGCAATAAGAAATGATTTTGTAAGGCACTCATTAACCCACGGTCAAGGCAATCAGTTTCCCTGTGTGTATTATCATGTTGCTTATCCATCATCTGTTCAGCTTCATACCCTTTAATTGTCCTGGCTTTGGGGGAAAGTGGGGGAGGCAGGAGGGAGGTTGTTGGGTTTTTTTGAAGTGCATCATTTGCTCAGCACCCAGCCGTGCTCTGCTACGCTCGTGGCAAAGAGTTTTGATGCTCATAACTGGACTAGTTCTAAACCCATTAAATCCAGAACAACCTTCCCCCTGGGGTGGGCCAGTCCTCGGGCAAAGAGAAAGCAAATGCTAATAGCATTAGAGAGCCTGTTTGAAGATCTGCTGGCACCATCCTTGGGAGATCCAAACGGGGGGTGGGAAGGGATCCTAAGATTTCTCCCACATTTCTGATGGGAGTTGGGCACTGGCTGGAAGCCAGGCTGGCAGAGGTGATGGGTTCAAGGGGTAACTCACTGCACCACCCACTGCCACCACTGTCCCCCCTCCCACAGCCAGCACCGCGTCTGGTTCCAATCTGCAATGTCAAGTGCACAAACTGAAGTGCTACCACAAATCCCCGGGTTTGGGGTTGGTTTTTTTTTTTTTAGGTCGGGGTTTGGTTTGCTTTCTTATTTCGGAGCAATGACCCCCC